ATGCTTCTTCTTTTTTTTAACGTATTCTAACTTGTTCTGTAATTTTTTCTGCTTTTTCTCTATTTCGTTTTCTTTCGTTTCATTCCGGCGACCTTTCAGTTAATTGTGATGAAGGATGGCCGGCTGCAAGCTTGCGGCAGTTATAAGGACATTGAGCTAAAGCAGCCGCAAATAATCGCCAAATGGAACTCGATAATTGCTAAGGCAAACGAAAATGCAAAGGACCAGCAACAAAAGTGAGTAGAAGATGACGACTAGAGTTACTCTCAGAGCCAGCCACAGCGGCAGCCTCATCGTGAATCCCCCGAGAAAACTTTGTGCTTCCATTCGGGAGCAGGCATAGAGATTAGTATATGACTGAAGCATTGTCAACGGCTTATTCCTTTGTGTATGAGGGAGAAATTGAAAGAATCTTTCTTTGCAGCCAAAGCACGCCAAAGCTTTTCTTTACTTTTACTTTTACACGCCCACGCCCACGCCCTTTTTCTCCTGCCTCAAATGGTTCGATTGCCATTAAAGTTCATTTGTGACAAAGCATAAAAAGAAATGATTGACGCAAAAAGTGGAACAATGTTAGCATAATGAGGCCGTTGGCAAGGGCTGCCTTTGTGGTCTACGCATTTTTTTTTTTATCAAACAGCCATCTACATCTAAATTATATTTAAAGAGTTCTCAAAATGAAATACTTCATAAATTTGTTGGGCTGCGCGAGAGAATTTCTGGTGTGGTTGGCATAATTTTAAATAATTTTAAAGCATTTGTGTGTGGAGTTCTTTGAACGCAAAGTCCAACAAAATTTAATGGGAAGTGAGCAAACAGGAATCGTTCAAGTCAATATGAGTAAGGTTATGTAAGTTCGATTAAGTCTGTATAGGACAGTATAAATAAGATTCTTGTTTACTAGCTCTCCTAGGCATGCTAATCACCTATAATAATATTTAAGTAGTTTTTGGAGTAAACATATCTTATAAGAGCTATAAGAATGTTTATGTCTCTAGAGAATCTGCATAAAGCAGTATAAATTCTGCATAATTCTTTATAAATATAACTCCGTTAAAGTAGCATCTATACATACATATATTGCTTAAGTTATCGTAGCTCTGTAAAACACAGGTTTACGTCGTGTAAATGGGTCTGTATAGTATTTATTCTTTATAGTCTTTGTAAGATTAAGTATGTATAAGTCTGCACAAGTTTATTTGAGCCTGTGTAAGTTCTTATAGCTCTAGTAAGAATGGGTCTAGTAATAAATCGGTAAAAGTTGATATAAATCGCCCTGCACAGCTCTGTCTTAGAAGTGTGTATAAGTAGCTTATTTAATTATATATAAATATTCTTATAAATTATAAAGCTTACATGAGTCCGAAGGAGTTACTACAAGACTGTATCAGTAAGTCTTTATGAGTCTTTGCAGGAGTCTAATATAACGTTTACAAAAGGATTTATAAGACTGTATAAGTAAGTCCATATAATTTAGTATACGATATTCTAAATACGATAAGTCTGCTAAGCAGCCACGAGTATGTTTAGTATTGACTAGTTTTATCGTATAATATATTGACTACTTATATCAGATAACTGTGAGCTCATTAAGGCAAATTGATGTATAAGATATTCCTAATAGGCATCAATAATTAGATCAATGAAGGAAAAGTCCTTTGTCTCTCTCTCTCTCTCTCTCTTTCTTTTTCTACCTCGCTCCCTCCCTCCCTCTCTGTCTCTATCCGTCTGTATGTCGCATTTAAAACTTGATTTGTAGCTATCCACGGAGATTCGACTTTCGTCCGTTCATAGGCAAAGCTCTATGTGCCACACCCCATATGTTTGATATGCAGTCAAGCGAATGGCATTTACTTCTTTGTTTTTCATTTTGCCACATACAAATTGTTTGTTGTTAATAGAGTTCTGCTAGCGACTACAGTGCCACTCTGAGAATTTACTTGGATTTTATTTATTCTTGATTGTCATCCATTTGCAGTGCCACGGAGCGCACAGCTCGGGAGCGCTGGAAGCTATTCAAGAATGTTAGCAAATTGGGTTTGCAGCGCTCAATATCGATTAATTCGGAAACGGGAGGCGGCAATAGCTCGGAACTGGATTCCAATTGCTTGGATGGCAGCGCATCAATGTCATTTAACAATATGCTCAACGATGCCGTCGCAGAGGACGACGAGGACGATGATCTGCCTGCGGTGAGTGGAACGAAAAAATCAGAAGAAGAAGAAGTGGATATTGATATGTCGCAAGAATTTTAATTTGTATATCGAAAGTACGTTATAATCGTATATATAGGAAGAGGCAGATTAAAATAAACAATATTTTATTCTGGGTGAAGTAAGACCTGAGTCTGAATATTCTGTTAGGCCAGTTAGAATCCTCTATAGAAAAATTATTTATATATGTTATTACACATTTTGATTATTAGGAGGGGTTTTCTTTATGAAAAGCAGCAATGTCTGCAAAGTTTGAGCAAAAGAGAAACAAAAATTCAGAAAAAAAATATAAATTAAAAAATAAAATAAAAATAAAACGAAATTAAATAACGTTCTTGGAAAGATGACAATTTCTGTAGATATAATTTAAAACTTGTTAATATGAAATTAACATTGTTTCTAACTCCTGCCCTCTGCTTAGTCCCTCTCCCTGGCCAGCGGCATCAGCTGTGGTTTGCAGTCGGCCGGCAGCTTCCCCCTGCAGCGCAAGCGGGCGAGCGTCTATGGTTCTCGGCATTTGATCTACGATGTGCCGCTGCCCATAGACGAGTGCCAGGGGGACGATGTTATAATGCGACCACGTCGGCGCTCAACGCTCCAGCGTCGTGGCAGCAGCGTGCGCTCGAGGAACTCCTGGCATCGACTCAGTGGCCTCAGCTCGGCGACGGCCACGTCCACCTCGAGCACGAACAGCGGAGATCTGCTGCGCCGCAGTCTGGTGACGGCCAGCTGCAGCAGCTATGCGGAGAGCAGTCTCGATGGCGGCGACTCGATTGCAGATGGAGTTACGACCCCGCCACTCGTAGCTGAGCTCTCTCCACGTGCCCAATCCTGGCAGCCAGCACAGCAAACGCATCATGCGCCGGTGACGCGAAATGTCTCCTCGCCGCCGGCCATGGAGGCGGCACCTGCATGGCCTGGAGCGGAGGCGGCGGTGGCACAGAGTCGCGGCAGCTTTCAACAGTTCCTGCGACGCATGTCCATGCGGCGCTCCAATAAGCCAAAGCATCATCATCGCCCGCTGAGCGCGGCCAACTCGATTAGGTAAATAATCTAGCATGGCCACACTGAATGCAACTGTATTTGGCTTCAACTTTATGCTTTGCTATCTGCCTTTCCAGGAGCATCTCGGAGGAGTCCAGTGCGGCAGCTCTCCTGCCAACAGTTGAGTTAAGTTCAGTGCCTTCAACGCCTGTCGCTGACATTTCCAATCCGCAGCCAGCAACAAATTTAAAGGCAACTGTCGACGACTTGGAATCCAGGAGAGAGACGAACGAATTGTCTGCTGCTTCTCCATCTCCTGCTGCTGCGATAGTGGAGACACCGCCAGTGAAGCGTAAGTTATGCATCTGGCATGTTGTAACAACTCGATTTCTAGTTGCCTAGTTGCCTAGCTGCCAACTGGCTAAAGTTCGTCCTCTGCCCTCATTCGCTCGCTTCAACAACATTTGTATGCATTGAAAGTTCCACACCGCCATATGGGTCAACTAAATCGATGGCAGACAGTGCGTATACGTGATTTTGCCTTTAAACAACTTTCGACAGCGCACAGCACACTTGATTGTTATTAAATATTGGCTAAGCATTGGGGCGTAGCTTACATTATTTTTAGTTTTCACCCGAGGCCCACGCACATTTATTTTGTTTGCATATTTTCTTTGAACTTAGACACGTGAGTTGAAGGCCAACGTCTGCCCCGTGGCTGTGGCTTAAATAAGCCTCGCACAAGGCATTTGCCCATTTTAGCAATCAGTTGGAATTCCACATTCGGTAGTGGAAATTCCATGGTAGCAAATGAAAGAAAATTTCTATGAAAGGCTGGCAGACAAATATCTTAAAGACGTAGTTGAATTGTTT